CTCAGTAGCCAGTAAGTGGGAATCACCGTCTGCACTGTGGCCCCGTCTTCCCTCTGTTCACGATCGCAGTGACTGGCACCGTTACCCACTCCCATGTGTGGGCTCCTCCCTAACCCACCCTCCCTTCTGAAGCTCTTCTCTCTCCTCCCTCCTCCCCACTCCACGGCCATCATCTCCTGCCTGGACCCTGCAGGCTCCTCCCGGCATAGCTCCCTCCTCCACCCCATCCAGCTCTGCTCTGCGTGCTGACGGATGACCCTGAAAGTCTTCTCCTTCCTCCTTTGCTCAAAACCCTTCAGTGCTTCCCAACTATCCCTCTGATGAAGCCCAACATCTTTGGCATGGACCACAAGACCCTTTACTGTCTGGGCCCTGCCTGCCTCCCATCCTGTCTTAGCCAACACTGCAAGCATTTCAAATGATGCTCCTTTAGCTGGGCAAGGTACGTGTTCTAGGATTCTGTAACTTTGCTAGTCCCTCTTCCAGAAATGCCTTCCCTTGCCCCTGGCGGTGGGAAGGCAGCTCCACATCCCTCGGAGCCCTGCAGACTCCTCCTCTGAAGACCTGCCCTCCAGGCAGCTTCCCTTTCATTCTGTGGCACTTGGCTTGAACCAGGTGAGTTGAAGAACTCAGTATAATGTACCACAGTGAATTATATCCATGCCAGTGTCCCTCACCAGAATATGCGTTAATATTCAGACCATGTCTGAATTAAAGGACCCAGCCCAAGGCTTGACATGGAACTTGATAAGTCACTGTTGGAGGGATGGGAAGATGGGTAGATTTGATGGGTAGAGGGATGAGTCAGTGAGTCATTGAATGGGTTCGTGGATGGATGGGTGGGTGGATGAGTGGCTGGCTGGCTTAATGGGTAGGTTAATGAGTCATTGAGTTGATTCACAGATGAGTGCATGAATGGCTAGGTGAGTGAATGGATGGACAGATGGATGGGTAGATGGGAGGCTTCCCTTCTCTCCTATGGTCTCTCTTTTTTGCAAAAAGATTTTTTATTTGATAATATAGCACTTAATATAACAGGAGCATCCTCGTAATTGTGAAATATTTCTCCTACAATACCGTAACATTTTCAATGATTGCATAATATTCCCTTGGATGATTTTCTACAGTTTATTAATAAATCTCCCATTTCTAGACCTTTAAATATTAGCTAATTCTCACTATTATACATTGTGTATGTGTAGAAATACATGTTGGTATAGATAGACAAATGATTAGGAAAAAGTATGTTCAGTTCAGTTCCCCATGGACTGCAGCATGCCAGACCTGCCTGTCCATCCACTGTGTTATAACTAGAATATCTATTAAAAGCAGCTATATAATTCCACACACAGATATAATGCAATGGTATATACAAAATTTTCATAGTAGTTGCCTTTGTCTAGGGGAATCAAGAGAGTTTTTATTTATTTTTTTTTACTTTTATGTTTCTTATATGATCTCTTTAGGATCAAGCTGAAATAAAGGCCCAGAAGGATGCCTACATTCAAGATCAGTCCAGGTCCAGACGGGGAATGAGTTCTGCTCAGACCTCTGGAATTCAGGCAAGTGTGTGGCTGTATTTTTTAGGTGCAAAACTTCTGGAGAGGTTGGAGGGACACTAGAAGGAATGAGGCCTCTGTGAAGGGAGAGTTCTAAATGGGTACTGGGGAAGGCTTCCTGGAGGAGGTGACATATGAACCTGGCCTGGGAGGATTTGTAGGGTGAAGATGGGCAGACATGGGCATAGAGGAGCAGAGCCAGTGGACTGGGAACGAAGCCTGGGTTGGTTTGAGTGGAGACCTGGGTGCAGTGGATAGAAAGACGGGCAGAGAGAAAATAATTGAACAAAGTAGGTTGGGAGCAAGCTTACCTGTAACGGCTGAGAAAGGACCTGGCAGAGGAATCTGGCAGGACTAGAAAATAGCCTGACATGGGTGGTGCTCCTGGGAGGACCATATATCAAGGGACTCAACCACAGGTGTCCGCCTGGAGCTGGCCGCAGGGGTGATTTCAGGGGTGGGCATGTAACCCAAACTGGCCAATCAGTGTCTTCTCTGGGACTTTCTCTGGCTTCCTGGGTGAGGCTCAGCTGGACCAACTTCCTAGTCATGGATGATGAAGTCTACAGAGCCAACACCAAGGCACCAGGGAGGAGGTGGAGAGAGGAAACAGGAGAGAAGACAGCTGCCATCTGGGCCCCTGGAGGGGTCACCGCACTGGAACCAGAGCAGCTGACCATTTTCTGAACCAGGGAAGCCACTGATCACCCTATTTGCAGAGGTTCCGTTTGATGATGTGAAAATAGACCCTGGAAGCTGCAGGTCATAGGGCATGCAGCCCTCTGTGTGCAGCGGGCAGGTCAGGATCAGATGCCGAGGCCGGGGGCTTCTCTGGGGCCACTGGCCCTGGTCCCATGGGAGCAAAGCTCTGGCTGCACCGTCCCCTGGCATCTTGCAGAAGCAGAGCCTTTGGAGGGTTGGTGGAGAAATGTCTGGACGTGGGAAGATGTGGGTGCTCCTTCCAGCGCCAATAAAGCTTCTGCAGAGACCAGCCTAGAAACAGGGAAGAAAGTCCAGCTTTGGTCAAAGGAGCTCTGTCTGCCTGGGGCCTCAAGTCCAGTAATGAAGTGCTTGGCAAGGCGGCAGAAGCCAAATTCTCTGCTTCAAGCTGGGGTTCCTGTGAGCAGAGGCAGGAGGTGGGGGATGCAGTGGGCGAGGGGCGCTGGGGGCCCTCCTGGTGTCTCTGCTGTGCACTCCTGGCTGAGCCGACACAGCGAATCTGAAACCACTGGGAAGTCCAACCACCGCCCCCAGGTACAGCCTGGCCTGGGGCGCACAGCCCGGCTGGCAGATAACCCAGGCCTGGAGGCGGCCGGCTGGGGAAGGTGGTTGCTAGGAGACTGAGATCTCCAGGCGGATGTCCAAATTTCAGGCCACGACTCAGAAAGAACCCTGGGCTTTTGTCCCTGGCCCATGGCATCTTTAGAGACCAAATCCCCAGGGGTCACCTGAGGCCTGAGAGGGGCAGGTGTCTCGACCTGGAGACAGGGCTGGGGGGCTCAGCCCTGACACAGGCTCAGACCCCGAGACAGGCCCAGCCAGAGCCGATTCCCCCAGGTCCCCGCTCTGGGTGCAGCCTGAAAGGACAGTGGTGGAGGAAGATGCTCCCAGCGTGGCCAAGTGGGCCCCCCGGGGGCTCCCTCCCTGGACGGAAGGATGTCCTCGGGCGTCAGCTTGACTCTGCCTGCCTCCCACGTGCACGCACACACATACATGCATGCATGCACGCATGAATGAACACAGACACAGGATACACACATGTATTCACACACAGGATGCACCCACACGGACACACACACGTACTTCATTTATATTCCAAGACACCATCCTGTCTCCCCTCTCATCTCCCTCCTACCATTGTTCAGCAAACCCCTAAGATTCCATTTTAAATGTCAGCTGATCAGAAAGGCTGTCCCTAAACCCTTCTAGCAGGAACCCACGTGCTCCACATATGGAGTGCCGTGTATGGCTGTGGTCACGGGTTCAGTGGCCCAGTGGACCTCTGGAGTGTAAACTCCTTAAGGTCAGACAGGGAAGCCTGTTCACTGATACATACTCTGTACTGCAACTCATGGCAGGGTTTCACTGAATGTGTAGCAAATGCAATGAAGATTTTGTAAGTACTAGGCCTGCCCTCTTTCGCCTCTCCTTTGGGAAAGAAGTAGAGTAGTCTCTGCTCGCCGTGACCCAAGAGAAGCCAGCGCAGCCGCAAAAACCCAGAGCAGCCAAAAGTAAGAAAATAAATAAAAATACTGAATGAATGAACATGTGCATAAATGAACGAATGGGACAGAGAGTGGCTTTCGCTTACTCTTACTTGATCCTAGGCATTATTTCACCTCTTTGGGACTCAGTTTCCTCATCCATAAAATGGATATAATAAACCGTGTCTCACAGGGCTATGTTTAAATTGTAGCATCCATAGCAGTGTCCGGCATGAAGCAGATACACTAGATATTTCTCTAGTTTAATTTGTCCTGCGGGATTTCACTTCCTGCCTTTGATTCAGCGGCCAGTTTGGCGGCCGCGTTCCTGGGTGGAATTCTAAGCGGCGTCCAGGCTGGAATCGCCCGGCATTCACGTAGCTCCCAATCATGGAGTTATTGCTGCTGGATGTAGGTGTCCCGGGGGTGGGGCAGCGCTTCAGTCCGTCTGTCCCCGCCGCAGGGGCAGGTCACACAGAGGCTGTCTCCTCGCCGAGGCGGGCGCTGTGACTCACTCACTGTGGTCATGTCTTAGCTCCATCCTCAGAACGTGTCTGGCCTCTGGGCCGGGGAAGGACAGTACTGGCCGGCCTCGGGAGATTCCACTGAGGGTGAGCTGGGGGCCCAGCCTGGGGCACCGTGCCCTGTGTCCCATCTGCTCCGTCACGGCTGAGCCAAGGTTTTCAGGTATACTGTGTGATCTTCTAATCGGGACGAATTCGTCAGGTGTAACTGGGGCAGACCTGGGGAGAATTCGTGGTCCCCTCGGAACCTCGGGCTCTGTGTCTCTTTCCCCCCTTCCTGGTGGGCGGAGAGCCTTCAAATAGGCTCTGTCCCCGCAGCCTCTGCCCACTGGGTCTGGCCCGTCCTGCCCAGAGGAGGTCCTGGTCGTGGGGGAGACAGGCTGCCCGATGCTGCAGCTGTGCATTAAGCAGTGGGCTCCCGCAGGGGACTCTCGGGGTCTAAAGCAGGCCCAGGGGTGTCCTCTTATTCTCCGGAACCCTGGCCAAGTGGGCGGCCTTATCTCCATTTCACAGATAAAGGATCCAAAGAGCAGAGAAGGAATCAGTCAATTGTTTCCAAAATGAGTCAGCTTAGCAGACACCCCAAAGCTGGCGGCGTCACGACAAGTGAGGGTTCTCGATTCCTGATCCACCTGCCGGTTGATCCAGGCCGGCTCCCGGGTGACTACGTGGGCCCGGGTCTGCTCCAGGCCTAGGCTGCCCAGACCATCTTCTCATGGCCGATCCCAGGAGCTCAGATGCCCAGGCACGCTGAAGGCCTCTGGATACCGGGCGTCAATTCTGTTGGCACTGATCTTGCTTTGGCCAGCTGGGTGGATGGGAAAACGCTCCATGCTCTTGGGCAGGAGAATCGGAAGCTTGGCCCGAATCATGCGGCCCAGGGTGGGGCTGGGATTTGAACCTTCGTGCACTGACCCAGTGCATAGCCCGGACACCAGCCTCTCTGAAACTACAGGAAACCCAGCCTCGGGGCTCCACAGGCGACAGCTCTTCTCCCCTCGTCTCTTAGAGGTCAGAGCATCTGAACGCAATCGCTGCACCTTGAACCCATGGAGAGAGCTGTCAGGAGTGGCCAGACCAACTGCATGGCAGGGAAGTGAGATGACCGTAGTCCCTTCATTTGTTTGCGCCTTCCTTCCTTTATTCATTGACATGTCCACTGAATAGCGGCTCTGTGTCTTGCCCAGAGCTTGGATCTTGGGAGAGAAATCAGACAGGGGCCCTGTGACCGGGGAGCTGCTAGAACCTTAGAGCAAAATGAGACCTCAGAACACAGCATCCTCACAGGGAGTCATCAGCCTCAGCACCGCTTCCTGCAAGGGACAGGGCGCTCACCACCTCACCAGCCAGCCTCTCTCCAAACTGGACATCTCTGCCAGTCAAAAAGTCCTCCCTCTCTTCCTTCCTTCCTTTCCTTCTTCTTGATTTTGCTCTTTGTTTTGCTCCCAGAAACATTCTGGCGTCATCTCCTGGGGCAAGAGATTTTCTAAAAGACATGGAAGTGAAATGACCAGGTCTGCTCACCTCCACACTCATGAAGTAAGGCCAAACTGCTTTCCAGAGCGATTGCACCAAGTTACACAATGACTGCTTTACTCATTTCCAGAAACCAACCTGCTCAAATCATTTTTAGGATCTCTTGCTTTTAACCCACATTTCCAATCCTCTCCTCTTTTGTTTCTTGAGTCACATTGAGCAAACTTAGTTTATACGCCTCTAATAAAGCTGTTATCCAAGGAAGATGTGGGTCGATCCAGCCAGGTGTGGCTTCCGCGGGTTCTCACGGTGCCCTGACTCCTTGTATATTCGGTGGCTTTTCTCTGTAAGATGCTGGTGGTTCTGTCTCCCGCCTTCACAGCTGGCTTCCAGGTGGATTCCTCCAGAGGGGGACTGGCATTTGTTTGTGAGATGTCCGGAGGACACTATTTTAACCTGAATTCTCAGCCAGGAGTTTGTGCAGACAGGGCCAGAAGTAGGAATTGGCCCTGCAGGCCCAGCTGAGGGCTGGCTTGCGGGGTATAATGTCTGAGGGCACCAGTCAGATCCATTTTCTGCCACTGTGGATTTCTGAGGCTGGTCCCAGTTCACCTTGGCCAGCTGGTGGCAGGCTCATGAGACACGTGGGCCCACTGGACTCTCAGCCTTGCAGGCGTCTTTGTGGCTTCAGTCAGCTTCTGCAGCTATTATGTTACTGTCCCAGCACCAGGGACGCCAGGGACCTGAGTCCTCTGAACAGCTGTCCCCTCCGGCTGCAGCCCAGACTCCCCGATGGAGCAGGCTTGTCTCCTGTTGTGGCGATGAGCGGTGACTCATGCTGGCCTCCCCTGAATTAGTAAGAATTCCTCAAGCAAATGCCGCTTCGTGTTGACAGCCAGGCAGCCTCTGCCTGTCCAGCCAACAGACACGGTGGTGTTCTGGGTACAAGTTAAAGACAAAGGCGACACAGGAAAATAAGGCATCTTCAGAAATGGACACGTGGCTGTCCCTCTGATTCCTCCAATACACGTCTGCAAGCCTGGCCTGGAGAGGTACTCCTTCCAACCTCTCCTGGGGGCGACGAGGGGGGCTCACCCGCCCAGCTGCTTAGGTCCAGACTCAGAACTTTAGGGGCTAGTCAAGAGCAGGCAGGCCAAAATTTCTCCAGAGCACCCTGGGTCCCCAGAACGCCTGTGAGCGTCTTGCTCAATGTGGCCGGCACCCTGAGACAAAGAGGCACTCAGCTGCGTCTCCCCCTGGCCCCAAGCCCCACCACCTGCTGTCACCCGGCCCCTCTGTGATTCCTGTGCCCAGGTAGGTGACGCTGGGGACACAGAGGAGCCAGCCCTGGCCCTGTCCTGTGGCAGCTCCCAGTCTGGAGGGGGCTCAGGCTCAGATAGAGATACACAGCTACAGTGTGGGAGCCCAGCCTGGGAGAGAGGGCAAGGAAGACTTCCCGGAGGAGGCAAGATGGGCCGCAAAGAATGAGTAGTATGCGTAGAATGGGTAGGTTCTCTCTCTGCTGAACCTGGCTCATTCCTGCTTGATCTTCAGATCCCAGCTCAAGTATCGCCTCCTCCAGGAAGCCTTCCCTGATCTCACCCACGTGGCAATCCCCTGTAACAGATGACCCTCCATGTCCCTCTCTTTCCCAGTCCCTGAAGCAATGGCTGGGAGCTAACGTGGATGGGGTTGGGCAGGGGAGGCCGCCTCTTACCCGACTGCCATCCCAGGGCCTGTTACCTGCCTCCAGACAGCAGTGACTTCGGCCATGTTGCTCATCTGCTCTGAGTTCTGGGAGGAATATTCAGAGAGGGAGTGCCTGACAGTGCAGCCCCAGCTGTTAGAGGCATTTCACACATGGTAGGGGCTCCCCTGGTGGCTCAGAAGAATCTGCCTGCGATGCGGGAGACCTGGGTTCGATCCCTGGGTCAGGAAGATCCCCCTGGAGGGGGGCACGGCTACCCACTCTGGCATTCTTGCCAAGCACAGAGGAGCCTGGCGGGCTACAGTCCACGGGGTCACAAATGGTCAGACAGGACTGAGGAGCTGATATTTCTCAGCACACGGGGGCTCCAGAGCAGATGCTGAGCACACGTCTCCTTCGCGCCTGTTCTCAGTGTTGGAGGCGGGGCTGGGGTGTCTGGAGTGGGACGCCCATAAGCCGTGCGCTCCCTGCACCTGTCTCGTCTACACAAAGGGCTGAGAACCTGGAGCAGGGAGAGAGGAGGGTGCTCACGCAGAGTCCCCCTGGGGAGGGGCCCTGGGAGCAGAGCCTGGCATGGACAGGGGTTTCCTGGGCAGGTACCTGTGCCCCAGGGGGAGGGAGCCCCACAGACCAAGAGAGGCAGGCGTCGGATGAAGGATGTGTGACCCGTGACGCGAGGGCCGCAGAGCTGGCGAGAGTGAGCGGGGTTGGGGGTGGGGAGCTGGAGATCTTGAGTGTTTGGACAGGAGCTCCAGCCTCATCCTTCATAATCCAGCCTCACTCCCCTCCACCCTCCACCGCTTTCCAAAGACAACTGCGTCTGCCCGTGACAATGGAAAAGCCTCCTCCCTGAGATTCCACATGACACGGAGGCCGCAGATCATCTCCTGGAGAAATTATCTCTGTTTCTCTGGGTTGGGTCCAGAATCGCTCTTCCACAAACCCCAGTTACGAGAACACCGTCACAGTCTACGTGCTCCCCAGCCGTCCTCGGAGAGCCTCTGACGGCGGCGCGGCCGCCCCCGGCCGGCTCCCCGCTCCGAGCAGCCACTTAGCCTGTCAACAGCAGAGCTGGTCTGTGGCTTGTCCCCGAGAGCTGGCGCGCAGAGGTGCCTTGGTGGCCGGGGGACCAGAACATGCCGCTTGCAGATAAATTGAGTTCTGCTGCTAAACTGTCCAATTCCTCAAAGAAACTGTCAAACCATGTCGGGAGAAATCCAAGTAAATCCTGAAAGCCGCTGCTGGATGATAAAAAGTCAGAGACGCCGAAGGTTATTAGAAAAATTACTCCTCTGTGTGGCACCTGGGGAGAGTGCTGGGGAGAGCGTTGAGAAGCGTGGAGAGGTGGGGGCTGGTGCCGGGGGGGCCTGGAAGGGCACTGCTGGCCCGTGGGACCTTCGGGCTGGAGCTGGGACCCTGGCCGTCATCCTTAGGGGGTGCAGCACCCTGGGACAGTCAGGCTTCCCCCACTGTTCCCCCAAGAGGCTCTATTTTCTTTTCTCTATAATTTAAGAACAAATAGGGCTGAATCCAGCAGCTGCCGTCTCCCCAACATCAACCTCGTGCACAAACAGCCTCTGTCCATCACGATGGGAGCTCCCTGGGGATGCGGATGCGCTGGACCGTGGATGCCAGAGAGCAGAACTGACAGCAGATCAGAGCAAATTCCTGGGAGGGTCCCCTGGGACCCGGGGACAGGAGGCTGGAGAGTGCCAGATGCTGGGGCCAGGCGGGGGGTACGAAGAAGGGAAGAGCTCCTCCCTCACATCCCCGCTGTGTCCCCTCCCCACACAGCTGTGCTCAGGAAACCCCCCACACCAGGGGCCCCTCCAGTGTCTCTCTCCCCCCTCTTCCAGGCAGCCCTCTGGGAATGCCGCCTATACTCGCCAGCCACATTGTGTCCACACCACCTCCCCCCTCAGGGTGGGCTTTGCTCCCGTCCTTCACCGGTGGCTGTGACCAAAGTCACAGTGACGCAGTGATGCCTGAAACGCTGGGGAGTCTGGCACCCTTGCCTTCTCAAGAGCATCTGCTCATTAGGCCTGAAGGATACTCCATTCTCAGAGCCGCAGCCATGCCCTCTGAGAGCTAAGGTCAGTGCAGAATCTGGGGGCCTGGGAACCCTGGAGTCAGGGCAGGCCCCCGGAGCCCCCACGTCTGCACCTGCAAAGCAGAGCCCATGTCACCTGCTGCCCGGACAGCGGACTGTCAAGTCTGCCAAGTCCAAGGTAGAAGGTGGCGGGAGTGGGGGTGGGCCTAGGGGGCTGCCCTGGCCCCAGGGGCTCATTCTCTGAGATCTCTACCTTCTGCAGCGCTCCAGGGCTCGGTGTCCTTGGGCCCCACAAGGCCCCTGCTGCATGCTGGGGAGACAGAGGACAGGGGCTCAAGCTCTGAACCAAGGGTCCAAGGCGTTCACCCTGGCAGCTTCCGCCGTGCTTGCCCCCGGGGTCAGGGTCCCCGGCGTCCCCAAAGCAGAGTGCTGAGCAGGAGCATGGAGCTGGGGGGTCGGAGGACAGAGGCCCAGAGGGTTCGAGAGGACAGCTCATCTGCTGGGCCCCAGAGGGCAGACTTTGCCCTCTAGGAGCCTGAGCCCAGGGCCCTCCTGCTGTTGCAGTTGCCATGGAAACCAGGACCCTAGGCTTTCATGCCCACCCACCCCCTCAAAGGTGGGTGAGGTGGGGAGGACCTAGTCCAGGGCTGACTGTGTTCAGTTGGCCCTTTGGAGCACAGTCTTCCTGGGGAGGCAGAGAGAAACCCCAGGGCCCAGCCCGTGGCCAAGCAGTGAAGATGGCGGGGCATTCTGGGCCACCCAGGGACCCTCCAGCTCATCTCCCATAGCTGGGGGCAGGAAAGAGGGACTTTGGGACCCTAGGGCTGCCAGAGACAGGAGGGAAACATGGCAATAAAGCACCAGGTGTGGGGAGATGGGACTTGGGCCAGGATTCATCTGCTCTAGAAAAAGAAATTCCC